CTTTTCTTCTTAAATTTTTTCCTGTTCAGCATTGTAAACGTGTTGGCACAAACAGAAGCATTTATCACTTTAAAGCTTGTGTGTATCTCTTTTTTCTTTCTTTTGTATCGAAGAGTTGAATTTCTGTTGATTTGAAAAAAGAGCTTTTTTCTATCACGCGATACGCTACAAAAATTCTTTCTGCAGGTCGCAAATTAAAAGCAAAATTCGTCGTTTTTATATGCAATACGGAGTGTGAAGAGTTGCATAAAAATCACCCAAAGGTTGATCTTTCAGCTCATTCTGTTCTCGAAAAATTCGAAAATGATTGCGCAAAAAACGTCACACCGTTACGCTTGGACAAGCGGTGATGTTCCTCTACACCTCACAACCATATATAATTAACATAACGCACCTTTTTCATAGTAGGCATAAAATGATTTCCGCTCCACTTAGTTCTAGTACTTTGCTTTTTCGATAGAAGTGTGTGAGACTATAACAAAATAATCTATCCGCTTGATAAATCGTCTTCTTCTGGTTGAAACAGTGAGTTTAAATTACATGAAAGATGTGAAGGTAAAGCTGTAAAATAATCCGTGAGTAGGTGTCATCATCATCAGTGGGGCCTTTCTTTGTAAAGATGCGAGTATCCCCATCTTTTACTATCATAACATGTTGTTTTTTGCATGTTCTATAGATCTTCAACTGTTCCACCCACACATACAGGAATATGTCACAAATAAGTCCTCCTAATCTTCATGTAACAGTAACTGACCGTGTTGCACTTGTTACTGGTGCAGCTCGAGGTATTGGTCGTGCCATTGCACTACGTCTAGCTGCTGATGGCTTTCATGTAGCACTGAATGATCTCCCAAAAATGTCAAATGAACTAGAAAAAGTCAAAACAGAAATTCAATTACGTTACGGTGATATTAAATCTTGTATTATTTTCGCTGATGTTTCAAAACAAAATGAAGTACGTGAGATGATTAATAAAACAGTTCAAGAACTTGGACGACTTGATGTTATGGTTGCTAACGCTGGTACACTATGGACAGGTTCATTTTTGGAAGCAACAGAAGAAGATTTCGATCGAATTATGAATGTCAATGCTAAAAGTGTTTTCTTTTGCTATCAAGAAGCTGCCAAACAGGTAATCTTATTTTTCTTCCTCATTGAAAGACTCCCCGATACTGATGAATACGAAGACCCGACTCTCATTCATCCGAAACTTGGAGAGCAAAGGTATCTGGAAAACTCATGAGATCTTTTTCATTATTTAATTAGATGATCAAACAAGGTCATGGTGGAAAATTAATTGCAGCATCTAGTGTCAATGCACATCGACCGTTCATTCAGTCTTCACTGTATGCTATATCAAAATGGGGTGTTCGAGGGATGACACAAGCAGCCGCTATAGAACTAGCAAAACATAAGATTAATGTCAATTGTTATTGTCCCGGGGTGATTGAAACAAACATGTTTCATGAGGGTACTCAAGCAATGGCTGCACAAACAGGTATACAAGTAGATGATATACGCCATAACCTTGTACATCAGACGACAGCCATGGGACGGATTGGACAACCTGATGATATTGCTCAATGTATTAGTTTCTTGGCAAGTCAAGGTTCAAATTTTGTTACTGGACAAAGTCTAATCATTGATGGTGGAATACATTATACTTAGACAGTAAACAACAAAAACGTTCCAAATTCGACAATATGCAAGAAAGCCTACACAAAAAGAACGTTATCCATGTTGGTTTTTATTATTATTGTGCATTAAATAGGTGTTTGATGATGTGATTTTTCTAAAAATTTGTAGTAATTTCAAACAAATTATCGTATTATAGCAAAACTGTGTTTTATACGTTTTTGTTTATGATCCGGCTTTAACTGCATTATAATTAGGATAGTCTAAAACGGTGGGCAGCAAAGTTTCAAGCCGAGTTTTGAAAATTTCAAGTGCGTTCCAATAAGAACGACTTGATCGAGCGATTTTGCCTTTTAAAGGTCTTTTTTTCGAACCTGTTTAGCAGCTTCTTGATAGCAAAAGAAAATACTTTTAGCTTTGACTTGCATAATTCGATCAAAATCTTCTTCTGTTGCCCATAGTATAACAGTGATAGTAACCATAACCCAAACGGCTCAAACGTCGGTCGAAGAAAGCAATTTTCGACATCCGGTCAAAACTTTTTATCCTCATGAATATGTGTCAGCACATTCTCCGTAGGTTTAAACGATGTTCAACTGTTATGACTTGAAGTCTCTTAAGATAGACTTCGCCAGTTGATCGAGTATCTTGCCAAAGACCGGTCACGAGTGAAAAATTGACATATACTTTTTATTTCAGATTCTACTATCAAAACTGTGGTTATGAAAAATAAAAAAACTTTCTAACTTATTCCGGCTGAGTTATAGAATTTACAAAATGTCGTTTACATATCGTCGATTTGTGAAAAGTAGCCAGCTCTGATATTTTGACTATAACTGCACCATTTTTTATGCGTTCTCTTCGAGCAACCGCTCATTCGAAAGCCTGATAAAAGTGAACAAAATCACATAGTTTCTAATTTTTCTGAAGTAGGAAGTGACTGTTTACAACCCACATCAATTGGAGAATTGGGAGTATGAAGCGTCAAAATTTTCGAGAAAATGTCACTTTCGACCCTCTGAGAAGACTAATTGGATCCTCTGTTATCTATGGGAGTAAAATGGCTAAAAGATCAATTGTGTTGACTTTTAGGTGCCCTTGGGCTCATATTTGACCTATAAGATTGAGCCAGTGATATTGTTTAATCAGAATATTGTAGAGCTTTCAACAGCTATTTTTTTATATCACATTTTATCATAACTTTATATCAGATTTTTAACAAAATCGTTTTTGTTAAGCACCGATATACTTTATGTACCTCCACAGAAAAGTTATTTTAAAAGGTCTCCATAATGGTATAATGGTTCACATGCACTTCAAAATGTGTAAAATCGTTTTCTCTATATAATCTGATTATAACTAAGTCGAAAGGCAGTGGAAAAGCGGGAGCCCTCCTTACATATCAGTTTATACTCATTTCGTTTTTTGAATCTATATAAAATCATCCCATTTTAGAATTTAATTAAAAAGGTAAAATATTAATAAAAGATCAATGTAAAATTATATATTATAAATATGATATTCTTGTTTTCTATACCGGTGTCACTGAATAGACAACTGTTGGACATATTTAGTCGAAGGACGGTGGTTCGAGCGGAAAAACGTGCGTACTTTTCAGTGAAGACATTTTATTTAAATATCTAACCTCTAGTCTTTTAAAATCGAACGAATGTTACCTGGTAAACTTTTTCTATAGACAATTTGATTGCATAGAAAAGATGTTAAACTACCCGAATATGTGTGTTTTAACGTTTTGGAAAGATGTTTTTGGATGAAAAACTCAAAAGTTTCAAACGTTTAAGGGCCCCCCCTCCCTCAAAAATTATCTCCGACACCGTACATCCGACCTAGACGAAACTTTCCATAAATGTTAGGCACAATGAGTTACGGGAACGAAAAGATTTTTTTGTCTCCAAGTCTTACGGTTTAGGAGTTTCCAGAGATCAAGGTCCAAAAAGGACCCTGAACGACGTCCCAAGACTTTTTAATGTACTTCAAGCTGGAGAGTTCGGATTTGTTTTATTTTAAACTAGACACCTAACTACATCGATTGACCGGCGCCGATTTTTCAATTACGCCTTTATTGGTTTTCCAGGCAACCAACAACCTCCGAAACCCGAAAAAACCTTCCGGAATTTCTAAAACATCCTCAGTTTGACAAAAAACTA